CGTCATTGCCTGGGTGACCCGCCCGCTGGGGTCCGCTAGCCCGATCCGCTCGCCCGTCCCACCTGTAAGGCCCCGCCCGCCCGTCCTGTCTGTTAGGATAAGTGTCGCCGTCGTGTCGTCGTCGTCGTCGTCGTCGTGGTTGTTGTTTTTGTTTTTGTTTTGTGTTAGTCGTCGTCGGTCTCGCCGCGCTCGTTATCATGCTCGCCTGCGCCCAACCTGCTTGTCAAGATTCACCCGCCCGTCACGCAAGTGAGGGTCATAGTCGCCGTCGTGGCTCTCATCGTCCTCATCTTTTTCGCTTTCGTCGCCTCCGTCGTCCTCGTCGTCGTCGTTGCCGTGGTCGACGTCGCCTCGTCGTTGTTGTCCTCGTCGACGTCGACGTCGCTCTCGTACTCATTGTCACCATCGTCGTCCTTGTTCTCGCTCTCGTAGTCATTGTCGCATTTATCCTTATCGGGCATCTCCAGGCTCTTACCCAACATTTGCGTGTGAGTGAAGCCTCGGGCCCATGCTCATGCGAGTTCAGCTTCCCCGAGTGAATGGCACGCGCTGACGTCGCACGCGCTGAACTCGCACGACGCTGAACTCGCACGCGCCGATTGCGCACGGACGGGCTCGTACGCCGCCAGCTGAACTCGCTCGCATCTAACTCGCACGCATTGAACTCGCACCGGCTGAACTCACACGCGCTAAAGTCGCACGCGCTTAACTTCCGCGCAAGCCGGGGCAGGCCAGGTGGGATGTCTTCCGAAACGTCGTCCGTGCCAGTTCAGCCCGTTCCACTGTAGAGCGTGCGAGTTCAATTCCGTGCAAGTTCAGTCAGTGCGAGTTCCGTGCGCGTGCGAATTCGGTGCGACTGCGTGTCCATCTCCGTGCGGGTTACGTGCGTGCGAGTTCAGTCCCGTGCGAGTGAATCACGTGCGAGTTCGGAGCGCAGGGTTTTGCAGGATGACCGAGGAATCCGAAGAAGTCCAGAGGATTCTGTAGGGCTCCTCTGGATGTCTTCGGAATCCGATGCAATCTGGAGGATTCTGTTGGGTGCCTTGGGACGTCTTCGGATTCCGAAGGACTTGTGAGGAATATGTAAGGTTACTTAGGATGCTTTGCGTATCCAGAGAACCCACAGGAATTTTTAGGGTTCCTTGGGATGCCGTAGGAATCTGGAGGGATCGAGATGCTTTTGGATTTCGACGAAGGAATCTGTAGGTTTCCTGAGGGCAGTCCGAGGCCCCGTCGGCGCGTGGGCGCAGCGCATTCTACGAGATTTCGCGGCGGGGGCTGGGAGCGCAAGAGTGTGCCGATGATATCCCGAGCATTCGATACGGGGCAGAAGAACGTACCCCAAACCAGTGAACTAGTAACCCGGTAAGCCTTTTCATCGGTCTTCCGACCGATGAACCGAGAAATTGGAAATTGAAACATTGATGAGCCGGCGTGTTGGCTGGCGCTTCCACGCGCGCGGCCAACATGTCGGTTGCTCGGTTAAATAGGCGATGAACCTGTAAAGCTAATTAATCGTATCAGTTTGTCGGTCGCCACACCGATAAACAGATGACCTAGTATCGTTTTTTTGTGTTTTTTTTTGTTGTTGTTGTTGTTGTTGTTGTTGTTGTTGTTGTTGTTGTTGTTGTTGTTGAACATTATTAATTCTAAAGAATAATTATTGTTGGGCCCCCTGGTGCACGCCCCCCCCCCCCGCGCCTAGGCCGCAGCTACATTTTCATCATTTTCGTGAGGAAGCCTCAGGTAAAACGATGTGATCCAGATCCGGTTGTTTTGTTGTAATCCGTTTTCCCTTGCAAAAAACACTATAAAATGACATTTCTTGTTCTAATATAATCAAATTTCAAGAATCCCTTGCAAAAAATAAGGTAAAGTGGACATTCGCGCGCGCAAGACGAAATCCTTCCAAAAGCTTAGTGTTCGGAGCGATTTTAACATAAAAACATCAAAAAACCAATGGTTTTTCAACAAAAAAATGTCAAAATCTCATCCCGCGCGCTCTTGCGGATTCGTAGGAAACCCAACACTTTTTAAACATTTCTGTCAAACGGGCTTTTGCGAGCAACTTTTTCGAACTTCTGCGACAACGGTTGCGCACCTGCCAGGGCCATCATCCCTGTCAAATAATACCATGCGGGACACATTCGTTTTTTCTTCGCGCGCGCGCACCCGGGGGGCGTGAGGATCCGGCATCGCTCACAACCATCGGGACAACCATCGGGACAACCATCGGAACAACCATCGGGACAACCATCGGGACAATCATCGGGACAGTCATCGGGACAACGATCGGGACAAGCACAACCATCAGGACAACCATCGGGACAATCATCGGGACAACGATCGGGACAACCACAACCATCAGGACAACCATCGGGACAACCATCGAGACAACCATCGGGACAACCATATCCTCTCTCTCTTGTGTATTCCCACATCCCTCAGGAATTTGCCCTAAAGATGTGATCAACTATCTTGTGAGTACGTATCATGTGTATCATGTGTATCATGTACCATATGCATCATATGCAACAGATGTTCTGTGGAAGGCTTAACAACTTCTGTGGGTTAACAAGGCTTAACAACTTCTGTGGGTGTACGAACGTAGGCTTAACAACTTCTGTGGGTGTGTACTCCACGCCAGTGTAGTAGCCACGGTCGTCCGCAGGCCACGAAGTGAAGTGTCCGAACGTCATAGGGCGGGAAGCTGGGTGTGGGTGGTGGCGAAGAGTCGTGTGGATATTTGGTAGAGCTTGCACTGCCCCCCCACAAAGTGGGGGTATTGGCTGGCGTCGCATGACAACCCTGGCACTGGTGAGAGCACTGAGCGTTCGGGTAAAGTGATTGTTTGTTGTTGTTGTTGTTGTTGTTGAACATTATTAATTCTAAAGAATAATTATTGTTGGGACCCCTGGTGCACGGCCCCCCTGCGCCGCCTAGGCCGCAGCTACATTTTCATCATTTTCGTGAGGAAGCCTCAGGTAAACGATGTGATCAAGATCCGGTTGTTTTGTTGTAATCCGTTTTCCCTTGCAAAAAACACTATAAAATGACATTTCTTGTTCTAATATAATCAAATTTCAAGAATCCCTTGCAAAAAATAAGGTAAAGTGGACATTCGCGCGCGCAAGACGAAATCCTTCCAAAAGCTTAGTGTTCGGAGCGATTTTAACATAAAAACATCAAAAAACCAATGGTTTTTCAACAAAAAAATGTCAAAATCTCATCCCGCGCGCTCTTGCGGATTCGTAGGAAACCAACACTTTTTAAACATTTCTGTCAAACGGGCTTTTGCGAGCAACTTTTTCGAACTTCTGCGACAACGGTTGCGCACCTGCCAGGGCCATCATCCCTGTCAAATAATACCATGCGGGACACATTCGTTTTTTCTTCGCGCGCGCACGCCGTCGTCGTCGGCCGCGGGGCCCTGAATAGTAGCCACGGTCGTCCGCATGCCACGAAGTGAAGTGTCCGAACGTCATAGGGCGGGAAGCTGGGTGTGGGTGGTGGCGAAGAGTCGTGTGGATATTTGGTAGAGCTTGCACTGCCCCCCCACAAAGTGGGGGTATTGGCTGGCGTCGCATGAAAACCCTGGCACTGGTGAGAACACTGAGCGTTCGGGTAAAGTGATTGTTGTTGTTGTTGTTGTTGTTGTGGTTGTTGTTGTGGTGGTGGTGGTGGTGGTGGTGGTGGTTGTTGTTGTTGTTGTTGTTGTTGTTGTTGTTGTTGTGTTTTTTTCTGGCCTGAGTTCCTTCGGGGCACCGTTGCCGTTGCATTCTAACGAATACGTTATCGAATGCGTTTCGATCCAGAAGTGGTCCTGGCAGAGCCTCATTTCTGACATCGTCTCTGCATTTTTCTAGAGGGCTTGCGGGTGACTCCAGGAGGACCCGAAAAGAGCCCCGCAAAGGCCCAACGAGTTCCTCACGAGTGTCGCAGAGGCTTCCGGGAACACCTCAAGAGGTCCTCAGTCAGCCCCAGAGAACCGCAGTACGGGCCCTAGAGGGTGCCAGTACGGCCCAAGTGAGCTGTCAATTCCCACAAACGGCGCCCAAGCAGCTAAAGCAGGCACCAGAAATTCCTAACAGGTCTCCGAAGGCCTTCAAGAGGCTCCCAAGAGACCCAAGACAACCCCAGAAGGACCCAGTACCCCCCAGGGTAGCCCCGAAAAGTCCCACGGACCCCCACTTCTTCCATGTCCTTCTCCTCGTGCTCCTCCCCTTTCTTCGTCGTCCTCCTTCTTGCCGCTCACCTTTTCCTTTTCGTCCTCCTTCCTGTCCTCGTGGTCCTCTACGTTTTTTTTGCACCTTGTATTTCTCCTAGTCGACCTTCCTGTCGTCCTTTTTCTTTCCTGCCTTGTCGTACTCGTCCTCCTGGTTGTCCTCTTCTTTTTTGAGCGCCTCGTCCTCCTCGTCCTCCTCGCTCTTCCCCTTCTCATCTACGCTGTCATCATCGTCTTCCACGTTGTCTTCCTCCTACCCCTCCTTGTCAATCTTGCCGTCCTCCTCATTGTTTCTTCGTCTTACGAGTCGAGTGGACAAGCAGTGGTGCCTCCCGTTCATGTGCAGTCAGGTCTTGTCCACTGTTTCTGCCTATGTCTGTCGTTGACTCGAGGTTGCCCATCTCGAGGTCGGAGTTTTCGCAATAATTGGCAGTACTTCGTTGACACGCGTAGGCTTTTATCAGGTATCTCTGGCCACGCAAGCTGTCTACTGTCTTGGACTCCCTCCCCGGTCAGCCCCTTCTTTCCATTCTCCTCCAACCTCCCTGCTCGTCCTTTCGGTGGCATCCCTTTCGTTTCGCCCTCCTCCGTTCACATCAGCAGAAGGCACCTATGCATCACTATCGTGCCTGGCCAGGGTCATTCTGGGCTGGAGGGCGTATACACCATGCCAGGGCCCAGGACGTCGTTGGTCAAGCATGGTGGTGGTCGTGCAGATGCTGCTTTCTCTGCATCACAGGTGGCCTGTCGGGAGGGGATTACGTCGTGTCGCTGGAGAAGGATCGCAGACGCGCCCGCCGCGGAGCGCCCGGTGCCATGCCGGGCGTCCTTGTCGTCATGCCAGGCGTCGTGCCCAGCGGCGCTCTGCCTCGCCTCGTCGCGGCGCAGGGCCGGCCTTCGCCCAGCTCGTTGGGGTGGGGTGGGGTACATGTGCAAGCACTTGGACAGGAGGGAGGAAGGAGGAGGAGGAGAAGGAGGAGGAGGAGGAGGAGGAGGAGGAGGAGGAGCAGTCACATTTGCTCTTCTTGTTCCTTTCCGCCCTCTCCTCTTTGTGCCGAGTCACACCGTGTGGCCATTCGCTTGTCGTGTTCGCTTTCGCTCACGAAGCATGCACAGGACCAAAGCTTAAATACTTCCACCCGCCGTGCTCTTTGCAGGGCCGTCCGCATGCAGGTGTGTCGGCGATTCGCCACGCCCTCGCCTCCATCCGTGTGCGGAGCACATATTCGTATCCATGTTCTCGAGGGCCGGGCCCCTGGGCCGCGACACTTTGGATACAGGGTGTTTTCTTCGCGCCCGCCCCGCGTGGAGTCTATTCATGCGCATGCATATCCACGGGGTCGCGCCCCGGAATCCAGACCGCGAGGGCGTGGATACGGATATGTTCGCCGCTCGTGGTTTATCCGCTATCTACGCCTGGTCCCCGGGCCTTCTCCAGTTCCATGCGCCAGCGAGGGAGGGAGTGGGAGTGTCAGGGCAGCCCCCGGTGCAGCCGGCGCCGCCGACCTGGTCGGTCCAGGGAGGGGGATTCGCCCAGGTGCCGACCGCGGGCCAAGGGACGTCCGCCGTCCACAGATGAGCGACGCAAAAGAACAGGGGCGTCTTCACCGAACTTGTCGCGTAAGTTGCCCGCGTAAGTTCTCGCGTGTGCGCGCTCGTCTCCAATATGGCGTGTCGCGCCGGCGGCCGGCGTAACTCGCCGCGTAAGGCCTCTATGTCATCCAGCGTAAGATCCCTTGTTTTGTCGCTCAGAGTGGTGGGCGCTGCACGCAATGGTCCTTCGCCAGGGTCGCGCGTGGTACCAGGCCTGCAAGGATCACCCCAGCATTGTTTTGCGCGCCTGGATTCGGCCCCCCGCCCTGCGCCCCTTGGCGACGCGCACTATGCGTCATTCTTTCACCGGGTCACTGTTACGTGTGGCTGCGAAGGTGGGGGGTGCAAGGGCGGGGGCACGTGATTACAAAAATGTGTGACTTGTTTCTTTCTTCATTGTTTCCATATTCGCAGATCTGATACGTGCCTTTCTTATGTCAGCCGGCGTGAACCCAGACAGTGCGATTCTATCAATACATGTGGTGCAACCCATGTAGGGCAATTGATTTTAATAAACGAGTTGACACATCCCATGCTGTTGCAAACATCTCAACCACCCACCCGCAACTTGGTTTGCAAAACCTATGCGGCGGCGATTGCGATGAGTGCTTGGCGTTGCCTTGTGCATCCTTGCAGCCGCGCCAACCCAAGCACGTGCGCGCAGCGGCCAGCTACTTTGGCGCGACCGACGCGGCCGCGGTGGCGCTGACCGCTGGGCTCGGCGAGTTGGGCGGGCGCGGTATCATGGCAACGTCGACGACGGTAGACACGATGATGATAATAGCGATGCTGGTGACGATGTTGACGACGACGGCGCGGCCAGTGAAGGCGCCGATGCTGATCACGCCGACGACGATTATGGCGTCTTCTTGTCGGTGATGATGGTTTTGGAAAAAGAGTTCGACATGCGCGCGCGGCCGACGCGCGAGTGGCCCGCATGGTATTACTTGACACGGAGCATGCCATCCCTCAACACGCGCGCAAAGGCGTGCGAATGATTTCGGCATGCGGCGCCAGAGACCCCTGTGGGCAATCCATGAACAGGTTGGAGACATATGGTTTTCTCAAGAATTCGGAAAAGCGCCAGCACACGCTTTTTTGAACACGGATGTTGCGAAACCATGTGGTTCCATGTGCTTTCGACATTCGATTTTGAAATCTTTATGGAACCGGAGGTTTTTGACGGATTTCAGCATGCGCTCGACGACGCGCGCGCGTGCACTTCGTCCTGTTTTTTTGCGAGGGATTCTCGCGCCTGTGCGCTTGCAAGGGCGTCCGAACGATTTCGTCATGCGCGCGCGCGAAGCCCATGTGGGATCATTTTCTGAAGATGATGACAAACCTATGGTTGTCTCAAGAAATCGCAAGAACGCGCGCGCAAGTTTTTCTTGAACATCCGTACTGCGTTTTTTTGTATTATGTATACAGCAAAACAACAATGAAAACATGTTTTTTCGGCATTCGTTTTTGACATCTTTTTGATTTCGAAGGTTTCGGACGGATTTTGACATGCGCGCGCGACGACGCGCGCGTGTGATCTTCGTTACTCTTTTTGCAAGGGGTTCTTGACATTTGATGACTTTTGATAACCGAACGAGCGCGCATTTTTTGTGCAGAGGATGGCGGGGGGGGGGGGGTCGATACCGGCCCGGCTGGGATGGTATGTGTTCATTTTCAAGATGGACGATGGGGTAAAATTATGTGTAAATTCCAATACGAAAAAGGGGAACGGATATTCCCGGCTTCTGGAGGGTGGTGGACCCCATTTGTTTAATGAAGAATAGATGGTGTGGAACATGTTGTTTGCAACCTGTGTTGTGTTGCGCAGTGTGTAGTGTTCATTTGTTGTTTAGCAGCCCGTATTGCGCAATATTTGTGGCGCAGTCCTTGTGTTGCAAGTTTATCGTGGTATTACTTGGTTTTGGTATTATCGGTGAAACAGCATATATGATGCACCCTATGATGTGCAATATAACGGGTACAATTTATGTATGTCTGTATGTCTGTATGTCTGTATGCCTGTATGTTTGTAGTCTGTATGGTTGTATGCATGTATGTATGCATTTTGCAGTCTATGCTATGTCGTGCACTCAATGTTGTGCAATATAAGTGGTGCAATCTTTGTGGTGCAACCCACTCTGCTGAACTTGAAGTCGTCCTCTCCATTGCTTGTGCAAGCATCCCACCACCCACCCGCAACTTGGTTTGCAAAACCTCTTAAAACCGACTACGACGACACCGACGACAACGACTAGGACGACACCGACGACGTCTCCGATGACGTCTCCGACGACAGCGACGCCGACGCCGACGACGACGAAGACGACGACGACGACGCCAACGAAGGCGACGACAAGGGAGGAGGAAGAACGACGACAGAGACAACGACGACAACGACGACGACAACGAGGGAGGAGGGAGGACGGCGACGACGCGAACGACGAAGAAGGAGGGAGGACGGCGACGCCGACGACGACATCGACGAGGGAGGAGGGAAGACGACGACGACAACGACGACGACGACGGCGACGAAATAGGAGGGACGACGACGGGACGCCGACGACGGACGACGACGACGACGAGGGAAGAGGAGGAAGGACGACCACGGCGACAACGACGACGGAAACGACCACGACGCCAAAGAGGACGACGACGACGAACACGAGGAAAGACAGAGGACGACGTAGGCGACGACAACGACGACGACGCGGGAGTAGGGAGGAAGGCGACGACGACGACGACGACGACGACGCAAGAGCGCGCGCGCACGCTTTTGTTGAAAATCAATGTTGCGAAACCTTGGGTTTTGTAGGTTATTTGGACACACGATTTTGAAATCCTTCCGAAACCCATGGGCTTGAAGGTTTTCGGCATACGCCCGCGACGACGCGCGCGTTTGCCCTTCGTCCCGTTTTTTGCAGAGGATTCTCCCGACGGCACACGCGCAAGGGCGTTCGACAGATTTCGACATGCGCGCGCGCGAAGCCCGTTTGGTAGCTTTTTAAAATCTTGAAAAACCAATGGTTTTCTTAAGATTTCGCAAGAGCTCGCGCGGAACCTTTTTTAGCAAATCAGTGTTGCGAAACCGTGTGTTTTTGTATGTTTTTCATCGAAGCTCGATTGCGAAATCCTTCCGGCACCGAAGGTTTTTGAAGGATTTCGGCATGCGCGCGCGACGACGCGCGCGTGTGCACTTCGTCCCATTTTTTGCAAGGGATACGTGAAAACATGTTATATTATAACAAACAATGTCACCGCATAGTGTTTTTTTTACAAGGGAACCTCAGGGGGGGAACCTGGTTTGGCTGGGATGATATGATTCCATATTCAGGATGGACGACTGTGCAATATTTATCTATATATATGTATATATATATACATATATATATGTATATATATATATATATATATATATGAAATCGTATTATCCCAGGGGGAAGCGATAAGTCCGGGGGGGGAGGGGGGTAGAATCTATTAGTCTTTTCGAAAGGAGACTATATATATAGAGTGCGATGTATGTTTAACAATACATGTGGTCCTCTTTTTTGTGCAAAGTATGTTGTGCAATCTACGTGGTGCAATCCATGTGGTACAATCGGTGAGGTGCATGGTAACGGCGGTGACGAACGGCGACGGGGCGGAGACGGCGACAACATAGTCGTCAGACCGACGCACAGACCCAGACGATTGGTGGTGGCGACGAGGCGGCGACGGGGCGGCAACGGCGACAGCATAGCTGCCAGACCGACGCACCGGCCCACACGATGGACAGCGAAGAGGAGGCGACGGGGCGGCGATGGCGATAACATAGCAGCCATATTGATGCGCAGGCTCAATACCATAGAAAACAAGATAGAAGCCCTCTTTGCAATCACTGCCTGGGAACAAGTGAGAACCCCTAAGTGCAAGCAAAGTTCTGTTTGAGGAACAAGTAAAACTCCTACGTGTAAGCGCTGTCTTGGCAATTCTGTATCGTTTGTCCTCAGTGCAATCGGCTTAGAGTCAATGGCGTGAGCATACCTCTGCAACAGCAGCGTGCCTCTATCACGCAACACTTCTTGGCGTGGTATGCCAATCAGGAGGTGGCAGGAGCGAGAAACGACACAGCGACGTGTGCCAGGCACGACGAGCCAGGCCAGGAACGAGAGGCACACGCACAGAGGTAGGGGTTTGGAAGGTTTGGCCAGGGAGGGGCGAGGGGGCCTGACGGGAGCGGATCTGGGGACGGCGTTTGGGGCTCGAGGGCGGGGGTCCGGGACCTGCGATCGCGGCGAGCAGAATGCGCCCCAGATTCCAGCATGTTCCGCGGATTTCGGCAGCCTCCATGGGACTCCGTGAGGCCTCGCCAAGGAGCAGTGGGAGGCTTTCCCGCACTTCCGCGAGCGTCGCGCGCTGGGTGCCTCCCCTCGGCGGAGGCTGGTCGCGCACATGCGCGCATTATTCCTTCGCTTCGCGCATCCCGCCAACCCATATTGTACCACCCTTGCCATCAGCCTGTGTGCTCGTGGGCAAGTTATTGGCGGTGGTAGTTTCCCCAATCTGTGGTGTGGAGCTCGCGTGGAGGAGAAACATTCGCGTGGTATATTGAAGGCAACACGGAGTGGGACACACTCACACCCAAGTTTCGGCATCGAAGCCCAACACACGAGCGGCAATTATTTAAAACCTCTTCGGGGGCTGTTGGAGCATCTCGGGGGATCGTTTGGGGTCCTCTCTGGGAGGCATCTGGCGGTTTCCTCGACTCTTGTTGGATCTTGTGGTCCTTTCAGGGCTCGTTTGGGCCACCTGGGGACCTTCTTAGGGCCACGCCGTATCTGGAGAAGCCCATGAAAGCCTGCAAGGGCGATAGCGCCACGATCATCAACAACTAGATGTACATTTGTATACTGTATACATCTATACACATATATATATATATATATATATATATATGTATATTTGGTA